GCTTGGCTCACTAAGCTATCCATTCTTTCGGGCCCACTAATTTGGTGGCAGACTGGTCTCAGACTTGCATGGGACAATAGGCAGCAATGACTCGATACAGCGGTAGGCCACCACGAGTCATGTAAAGGCCAGATGTGAATCCAATCGCCTCAGACGAAAGTCAACATTGAAGAAGAAAGCATGGCAGATCCCTCAGGCATTGATCAATGTCGAGAGCTTTATCCTCTATCTTTTGTTCATTTTTTTGATAAGCCTGATTTGATAGTCTTAGTAACTAATTGTGATAACTATAATTCTTGATTTTTGGTCTTGTGATACTTTTTCAGCAATTTTTTGAATTCTGCTAGAAGTGTGATCTCCATTATAGGGAAAGGATGTTGTCGATGCCGTTCTAAAACGGACGAAACTGCAGTTCTATGAGGAATGGGCTGGTTATGGTGATCCATTCGAAGTGTCATTAGATCGTTTCTCGGATACAGTACTTGAAGCAGGTATGCAGCCACATAGGAAATTATCCTGCCCTCTCGCTTCTTTATATGTTTTAGAAGCCTGTTCACAATTTACGACTGTTTACAAACATACTCCAATGCTGTTTAGTAATTTGCAAAACACTTGACTCCAACGGAAGTTGAACCCGCTTTTCACCCATTTCTCGGGCATCTAGTGGCAGCACACGTTCTGGATGAAGGTGGAACGCGGGTTTAATCCTTGCCTGAGGTCGAATGTTTTGCATATTAATCAACATCTTTAGGTTCGTAGTTGCTAGATCATAATATTGCTAAAAGACCGGTAAAACAAAGATTTGGTGTGGGTCGTTTACAAACACACTTCGAGTAATGATATTTATAGTTCCACTCGACCTTGATGCAGTTCAGAAGAGACAGATGAAGCAATCACTCGACGAAAAATGTGAAAGAGTAATGAAAAAAGTTCTAAGAAAACGAAAGCGAGAAGTACACAATGATTGTCCAAGACGATCAGCAAGGATGAAGGTATGTTTTTGAAGAAATAGGGATCCAGATAATCAATGTATTGTTTCGGCTTTTGGGCGTATAGTAGTAATGAAAACTACCAGGAAGCGAGCTGCTGGTTTGACTCCCTCCCTCAGCATTTTTTGTGATCACTCAGTTGGTCATCTATTGTCGCCCTAACTCGGCCACCTCCGAGATCGCAAGAAGATTCTTTTTATTCGACTCGATTATTTATATGTAGGGTTACGTCCCTTCATAAGGGATTGGTTCAAACGAAAGGAACCGTGCTACTGATGAGGCTGGAAGGCCGAAACATAGGTGTTTAGCACTTTATAAGTGTCATAACAGACCTTATGAAAGGCTTAAGTAATGTTATCAGCTATAAGAGTCGTCCCGACCAGTATTCTAAGAGATTTGTGAGAAAGTCGAACCTCTAAAGCAGTGGCCGAAGCAGCACACGAAAGGTTCGAAGAGGTTTGTGGAGGACAAATGTGACGAACATTGGATGCTAGAGTGGTGGGATCCTCATAGTGAAATGTGATTAAGGGGCCCTGTAAATAATGTGCTGTTTTATGATGAAGATGTAGGGACCTGAATTCTGATTCGTTATTATCTTGAGACTTCTAGAGACTACCTTCATTAATTGTCCGAGTTTCAGAGAGCGGTAATAAGCCATGAATACGACACTGGTGATAGCCGTCGATCGCCAAACGTCGTTGTCAGCTCCTGTGGTTCAACTGCTGATGAAAACGAGTATGTAGACGTTGTTGGCGAAGTACAAGATGACGATAATCTCACCGTATAGTCGGTGTCAACTTAGATTCAAATTAAGACATTCTTATAAGTCGAAATATTGTTTTGTCATTAGTTGCTTCCGTTGTATTTTGTACAGAGGCGCCTCCTGGTTCAGAGGTTCAGTGAATCACAGAAGACCCCATATTTATCAAACACCACTTACTTCTTCTCACTGTACTTCCTTTATCTCAAATAATTGTGAGATACTTTTTCGTTAGACGGCACGTGATGAATAAGCGATCCCTCTCTGTGGAGAAGAACTTTTCATAGGAGTGAGTAAGCATTCGAGTGCTTGAATCTCTGGCTAGCTCGGTGCTGGCGTTTTTTTTTTTTTTTTTTGATAAAGTCTTTATCATAACGCTTCATTGGAAGGTAAACTTGCTTCACACACGCGTCTTTTTTTTTTAGCAAAACATCTCTACAGACTACTATTAACCATTCGATAGCGTAAGATTTGCAGATTCCCATGCTGTGCTTATTTTTTGGAAAGACCGTTTGTCCGCAGTGTAGCAGAGGAAATAAGATTGATTTACATACGCGGACGTGTGTTTTTTGGCTAATCTGGGGGCTTGGGAGGGATGTAGGCGGGGCTGCCCACGGTTTCATCTCTGCGATCGCTCGATGCCGCCTAAGTGAAGTGCGATTTTTGTTATTTGATTAGAAATTGTTTGTTCGCTTTGGAAAAAAAAAACTATAGATCGAGCGTCTGATTGTGAAATCAAAAGATTTTATGTATACGTTCATGGGCTTTTCGTTCTTCCAGCGAAGTAATAGATGAATTGCGCGAATGATGTGAAACATGATTTCATTTTGAGGTTTACCGCGTTATGGAATGGTCTCTTCTAAAAACCGGCGACATGAGCGCTAGCCAGTGATCGAAGTTTTCAAATAATTATCAACAAACTTATGAAAAGTTTTAGTCCTGCAAAAAGTTTTTTTTGTTTTTTCATCCCGTGTCGTCTAGCAGGAAAAATCAATTACTGTGATCTGTAACAGTGTGGATGTCCGAGTCTTTCTTTTTTGGTCCCATCAATATCATTCTCGTTACGAAAGTTCTACTAGTGATCACAATAAGTCTGCTTGTTACGAGTGTTGTGGTGTCGTGTGTTTATTCTGCAGTGCATGTGAATTCGAGAAGTACAAGAATTCAAACACTTTAGGAGTACTCATGGGGTCTCATGGGTTTGCTAGTTGACATGAAAATTAGTTATCATCGAGAAAACTTCTATAACCGAGACACTGACTGACACCATCTGAAGGGTGAACGCATATCTTGACGTAGTACGGAGAAAAGTCGAAACCAAGCTAAAGCTTCGCTGTATCACTCGGGTCTTGGGTGTTCTTGAAAAAATTCAGGATTTTCAACTACAAGATCAGATACGGGTTTATCAATGATGTCAATGGTTTGGCGAAAGACGAGAAAGGGTAACTACCCGACTGACGAGGTCGCAAGATCGAAACACGTGTATCGGGCTCTATAAGTCAGCCCTCTTTGATAGACCACTGACATGGGTGGCTCAAAAAATAATAACCAGGCATATTAAGTGGTTTCCTTGAAGATCGTTCTAATTTATCTTACGGTCTACTCGACCATATTTTTTCGTCCACCTGTTTTTTCCTGGTTGCTGGCCTAACGATGTTTATTTCATGGAACCAATTCTTCTGGATGTCGATTGCACATTTGTCTTTGAAAATATGAACTACGACATAGGGTTGTTGAGCGTGCCCGTTCATTCTCAAAAGACTCTTCTTGAATGCGATGTGTACTGTGATTAACTTCTTCATAGAGCTGTGGTATCAACTTATGTTTATGATGCAAAACTCGGATCGACCGAGAGAATTAGTGGCCTCCAGTCAGAGTTTGGTTTGGTCACTGCGCTGGAATCTCAGTAGCAAATAAGTGCCAATCAACTTACCACTCTATGAATTTGCTCACAGGTTTTTTTTTGTAGGTTATAAAGAGTAGATATGATTTTCACACAGAAGGCGACGGCCACCAGAGTATCTGTATTGGAAAACCTGTTGTCTGACGGTGACAAGTTGCGATAGATTTACCTCTCAGAATTATTATTATTTAACCGCCACTTGCAGTGGTATGATGTTACAGTATACCCAATAATGTAGAGTGCTCTGCAGAAACATTTGCGTCAGCCGGGATTCGAACCCAGATTTCACTCTTTCGCAAAGGGTCGGTGGTGCAACGGTTGGCATAACGCTTCCGAAAGAGTGAGATCTGGGTTCGAATCCCGGCTGACGCAAATGTTTCTGCAAAGCACTCCACATTATTGAGATTTACCTGTGTTCCATAGTAAACTCGCGAAACGAATAGGACCCCTCAAGGGGTAATACAGGCTACAATGATCCACACGTATGACGGCTAACAACCGGCGCCCTGACCATCTAAAGACCAAACGATACGTTCCTTACCGTGAACCAAGACGTCAAATGTCATTTAGCCACTGTGATGAGGGTGCCTTGTCTTGTGGGAAAGCAGGCGCAGATGGCCAGGCATGCCCTCTGCCTGCGTTTTTTAAAACGTTCTGGACGATGGATGCGAGGGGATGAACGCAGGTTGTGAGGGAACATCATCGTCATGAAATGATGGAATTTTATTGGAAAGGCTTCCGCAGAGATAATTTTGTTAAAAAGACTATCTATATGTTGCATATTACGTCTATATTTCTTATGTTTCAACGAGAAATCCACATCGCTATGAAAGAAAGCATACGTCCAGCTAGAACACATTTTTTAGTCGATGTTCTTGCAGTCTTTTGATAGCCTGAGAAATGCCGATTTTCATATTAAGCTTGGTTTCTGTTTCGACTTTCATACTACGATTTACTAATGAAAAAGATAACGTTCTGCGTGGAAAATCAGGCGCATCTTATGGGAAAGCAGGTGGGGATAGCCCGTCATGCACGCGCAGACATGCAGATGCCGCGTCCTGCGCGACTACCGCGCAAGCGACGTCGCAACGCCGCCTGCCTATCAACGCTGGCCCTTAAAGGGGTAAATTTACTTATTTCAGAATTACCTTTCGATCGAGAGCGATTTCTATACCTAAATATGACAGCAGAACATAGTGCCAGCATCTGTATTCTATACAGTTGCGATGAAGAACATTAAGAATTGAGGCAGCCTCTAGTCGACACCCAACCTATCGTACGAACATAGCAGTGTAGATATGATAATGGTGGGACTTCAGAACCGCTCGAAAAGTGGTTGGGCAAATGTGCCTCGGTGGTGTAGTGGTAGAGCACGCGTCCCCGGATAGGACAAAACGCGGGTTCGAGTCCCGCCTAAGGCCGTGTCTTAGCTCACCACTCAGTTCTCTTAGGAAAATATGAAACATCATAACACGGCGAAAAAGGCAGTGAAACAATAGAATTTTAAATTATTGCTAATCACAAAGGCTGTCAGCTCAACTGGGTTTTCACAACGAAATCGCATACCCGACAGAACCTGTTAAAGGTTGGTATCTCACAGCTAACATAGAGATGTTGAAGAATGAGTGGTCGAGCAAATGTGCTTCGGCGGTGTAGTGGTAGAGCACGCGTCCCCGGATAGGATGAAACGCGGGTTCGATTCCCGCCTGAGGCCATGTTTTTTGCTCATCATTCAATTCTCTTAGGGAGTATATGAAACATCATAACACTGCGAAAAAGGCATAAAACATTAGAAATTTGAATTTTGAGAAGTCTCAAGTCATTTTCAAGACTTTTTCTAATCTTGGACTCGAACAGTGGAATGACGATATGAGAAAACAAGCTTATCGAGCTTTTACCTGATAACTTATTACTAAGCGAATGCTCAAATCAATTTGACGACGCATTTGGTCGGTACATTTGGTGTTAGCGAATACAACGTGAATGCCTTTCTCCCAATGTGAACATTAGGGAATTTTCGGTTCTTTTCCGCTAAACGGCACGGGAAGAACAAACGATTCCTTTCGCTCGGCAAGAACTTTTCATAGGAGTGTTAATGTAATCATTGGAAAGCTTAAGTCTCTGGCTAATGCGCTACATAACCGTTTTACGAAAAGTCTTTTTGAAACGCTGCAACAAAAAGATGGTTCTTGTGTTTCACACGCGCGTAGTTCTTGCAGGACAGAACTTCTTACTCAAATTCTAAGTAACCATTCGATAGCTTAAGTTTCGTTGATTCCAATGCTGTGCTCAATCTCTGGAAAGACGTTACACTGCAGTGTAGAGGGAAAAATAATATTTCAATATGCCTGATGATCATTTTTTGAGCCAAGCATGTCAGTGGTCTATTAAAGAAGACTGACTTATAGAGCCCGATACCACGTGTTTCGATCTTGCGATCTCGTCAGTCGGGCAGTTACCCTTTCTCGTCTTTTGCCAATCCTGTGTGGATGCTCCAGTCCCACACTAAATTGAAATTTGAGCTGTGGTCTTATAAAAACACTCGATACGAAGGTCATGAAGAATAATATTGATGCATTCACGCGCGCATATGTTTTCGGCTCATCTACGGGCGGCGCGGAGGGGAGAGAGAGACCGCGCGTGGTTTGAACACGGCGATTGATCGATAGCGCTGAGGCGGCTCACATGTGAAGTGTGATTTTTGTTATCCAAATAGGATTTTTTTCCCCTTTGGAAGAAACTCCAAATAGAACGTATCACTCTGATACTAGGAGATTTTCTCTGCACATTCATATGCCTTTCGTGCTTACAGCGACTTAATACTGAAAACGCGCGGCCGGTGTAGATCATAGCTTTATTTTGAATGTTACAGCGTTATAAAATCGTCTTTTCAGAAAACGACTATGTAGCCCAGTAGCCAGAGATTTAAGCTTTCAAACGATTACTACCTCTTATGAAAGACTTGTTTCTGCAGCTCGTTTCGCCCAACGGAAATAACCCAGCTCTCCCACGAGTAGCAATGACGAGAGCGCCGCAACTAGGCGTCGAGCATGGTGGGTGTTCTGTGACGGCACCGTTCGCGATGCGGGTGGCTTTCGTCCTCCTCTGTTCGCGTGCCCTTCCCCGTCTTTCTCTTGTCCCGTCCCAAATGGGTGTTTCTCTTATTGGAAGTATTTATTATTTGTTACAATTCAAAAATTCGACTTGCTATAAACCTCGTCATAATTAATTGATACATGAAAATCGAGAAAACTTATCTTGATTAGCTGACGCGAGGTTGGTGAATTAGTCGTAGAAGTTCGGCTGACGTTCCGCGACCCGCCTTCTTCAGAGCTTGGGCGTATGTAGTATTACTCTATTTGAATGATTCGGATGGTCTCATTTTTTGTGCTGCCTAGGTCAAGTTAGAAGATCAAACGAAGAAAGGGCGCGAGATCTCGTGTGATGGTGACGCACTCGTCCTTCCGGTTCATTTCGGGATTTTGGGCGTTTATCCAAAATGCCTCAAGAGTCTTGCGCGTGGGTGTTTTTGATTCCTGCGCTAGGATTGTGACAGTCACATCAAAATCCTTGTTGTTATGTTTCTGTGCCCTATATAAACCTAAAGGTTTAGTTTTATCTATTTTAGACTTACTATCTAGATGTTCTTTTATGCGGATGAAAAGTGGTCTACCCGTTTCGCCTGTATATTCTTCCCCGTATGTCTTACTTGTTGCCAAATAAACTGTGTGCGATCTCTTACAATCCCCCTCTTTTCCGTCAGGGCAGATTATACAGTGTTTGGTATTGCACAATCGATCGTAAAGTCTATTGCGGATCAGCTGATGGCGTAGGGTGAGAGGTGGGATTTCAATAACTACCTAAGGAATTTTCAAGACCGCATCTTTTTAGGTACCTTTTAGCCGCGCTACTGATTTCGTTTGATACAAATGGCAGTCGGAAATTATTTTATTTGATCGCCTATTGCGGTGTTATGATGTTATAATAAACCCAATGGTGTAGAGTGGTGTGCAAAAACGTTTGCCTCAGCTGGGATTCGAACCCAGATCTTACTCTTTCCGGGGCATGTGCTCAACCGTTGCACCACGTTGTAACCGTTGTAGAGTGGTACAACGCTTGACATGCTCCCGGAAATGTAAGATCTGGGTTCGGATATCGGCTGACGCAAACTTTTTTTCACACCACTCTACACCATTGGGTTTGTTATGAAAGGCAGTTTGAAGGGGATTCTATTCTCGTGTGGAGTATTACATTTTAAACGTCTAGTTTCAATTTTTTGAAGTTTCCCGAGTAACGTATGTTTGGAGGCCGTTGAAGATGGCAATTTTTCGTGCCAAGTCTAATGATTCATTCCTTTCCTCTTCTACTGTGCACACATTTTTAGCCGTTCGAAACATGTCTTCAATTAGCGATTTCTTCATGTGCGAAGGATGAGAGGAAAGGTGACTGACCAAAATGTTTTTGTTACTTGGTTTTCGATACCATTTTGTACTATAGCCACTAGCCAAAAACTTTACTTTAATGTTTAAGAAGGGAAGCCAGCTCCCGTTTGGACTCTCTCGCGTAGATTTTATATGCTCTGACTGTCCGTTCAAGACTTCAAAACATTTGTCCATTTCCTCTTGGTACGAAACACACTAGATACAGTTTCACATCCTCTGAGTCGAGGTGTCGTGTTCACAACACATTGGTCACAGTTCAAGAGTCCAGGTGTCGTACTCACAACACATTGGTCACAGTTCACGAGTCCAGATGTCGTGTGCACAAAAACACCGGCCCACATCCCCTGGGCCAAGGTGCTACGGACGCAAAACACTGATCACAGTTCACGAGCCCAGGTGACGGGTCCACAAGACACTGGTCCCAGTTCACCGACCCAGGTGCCGTGCTCACAGCACACTGTTCACAGTGCACCAGCCCAGGTGCCGTGCTCACAACACATTTGCCACAGTTCACGAGCGAAGGTGCCGTGCTCACAACACACTGTTCACAATGCACCAGCCCAGGTGCCGTGCTCACAACACACTGGCCCACATGAGAGTATGTGGGTATGAGAGTATGAGAGATGAGAGTAGGGCTAATACTACATACGCCCAGGCTCTGAAGAAGGCGGGTCGCCGAAACGTCAGCCGAACTTCTACGACTATTGTACCAACCTCGCGTCAGCTAATCAAGATAAGATTTCTCGATTTTCATATATTATTTGTTATTTATTTATTTAGCCGACCCATAATCACATTTTTTGCTGTACAGATCCCAGTACTTCTGATATTCGATTCCTTTTTCGTCTTCTTTTCGAACGTCGTGGAGTAATAATTGAGCGAATTTCCTAACAACCTCGAGGATAGCCTGCCTGGCTGTGGCGTTCCATAGGGCGTTGTCACTGACTGCCGGAGAGTGTTGGGGGTGGAGCTTGGCTACATGCGCGCCGCGGCGAGCATCACAACCACTCGAGCCACGGCGGCCACCATCATCGCACTCTGCTGTCGCTAACGACCCTCATCGAAATCAGACAGTTAACATTTGGCAAATGTCCGGGAAGGGCTGCTAGATATCTCGAGAACCGAAATGGAGCTGAGATTTTGAAGAAATTTTACTATTTTAATGGAACTAATACTCTCTTCCTTACGAGTTCTATACTGTCACGATGATTTTTGTTATTCGTGTTTGTTAAATACCATTTCCTTGTTATCGCCTCACTATGTCCTTATTTGTATCAAATAATTCAAGCCACTTGCAAAAGTTTCGCGTCAGCAGAGACTCGAACCGGCATTCTACCCTTTTTGGGGGGCTCGTGCTCTAACCCGTTGCACTATCGGCGCTTGTTTTGCCATCACTCTTTCTAAGCTACAACGCATCAATCTGTCAGCAACCAACCGTCGACGGTTCGATCTTGGTGGTCGATATCGATATTGAACATAGTTATGCTGACAGATACTGGATATTTCCCACTGTGCACGACGGGGCCTCATTTTGGTCTTCAGATTTTTAGAGCTCTTTTCTTGCTAAACAAAGCTTTTTTTAGAATTTAAGTAATCGTTCGAAAGCAAAGATCTCAGGGATTCCGACACTTTACTTGATTTCCACGGAGTCCTTTGTAGTACGCTGTAGCAGCAAAAATTAACTTTCATACTCAGTCTGCTTTATTTGTTCCGCTAGAGCCTGTGGATCGAGTTTCTCTTAGGCTACACTAGGCTCATTCGGTAGCCCAAATCTCGGTGAATTTGAAGCTCTAAGCGGTTTTCGAATAAGTTTTCATAGCGAATTTCAATGGAGAGAACAAGATTACTTTTACATTCGGAGTTTTGTTTGCACTTAGGAGTTATATATACACAAAAAGTCGACAGGCTTGCAGAGAAAATCATGTTCTATCAGAGGAGTACAAGGAACCCAAAGTATCCCACGAAACTGAGAAAAAAAACCTTTGTTGAAGAACGAAAGTCGCGCGCCAACGGCGATAATTATTATACTGTCGTCCCCAACGGGATATATCTTATCTTCAAGAATTCTTTTTAATTCACCGCTTTTTAGCGATATTGAGAATGAGTGGAATGAGTAGTGGCAGAAGAGGCGTCCATAGTGCAACGGGTCAAAGCACGAGCCTCCGGGACAGTGTGAAATGCGCGTTCGAGTCCCGACTGACGCAAAAGTTTTGCACATCACTCAACATCGTTGGGTATATGTATAGCATCATACCACCGTTCGAAAGCGGTTTAAATAGAGAAAAATTCTTATTGATCGATCGATTTCATTCTTCCAGTAACTCAACGTCACGCGACCATGCTGATCAACGCTCGAAGCCAGGAGAATATCGTACTGTGAGTCACTTTCTCTTCATTTGTTTATGCTTCTTTGTTGTCATTATCCTATAACTACCACTGAAATTTGAATATGCTCATGAGAATTGAGTAGTGAGCAAAAATTCGACCTCGTACGAGAGTTGAACCCGTGTTTCCATCCATACCGGGGACGCGTGTTACCACTACACCATCGAGGCCACCGCTTACTCATCACTCATTCTTCAGTTCTCTCTATAATAACTATCAACCACCCACATTTAGCGAGTCTGGTCGAGTATGCGGTATCGCTTTATGGTGCCGCAAATTTTCTTTCGTGGTGTGGTGGTAGGACCCTCACCCCCCTTCCCGCCACCCCGGTATGTATGAAAGGAGATTCGACTCTCGTCTGAGGTCGGATTTTTGCTCACCACTCAAGTCTCTTAAGCTTATTTGAACTACCATAGCACTGCGAAAAAAAGCAGTAGAAACATTAAAAATTCTGAGTATTGCTGTAAATTAAGTTAATAAAGATGTTTGTTGTAGAAAAATGTCTCGAGAAGAGGTAATGCGCGAATTTTTCATCCCACTCGAACGACTCAAACTCCAAGAAAAAGAAGCCACAGACCCATGGTGTGATTTGTCCGAAGCGCGTCTCTTCCAATTAGTGACGTTCTTCAAACCCGCCGGTAAGTCCCCATCTCTCTGTCTGTTTGTGTGTGTTGTTCTGGGCTCATCATTAACCCTTTATATGGTTCTTTTCCATTATATGAGGACAAGTCTATATTCGCCCTCATTCGTTGGACAAGAACTTTCCATAGGAGTGTTTGTTTTTATTCGAAAGCTCAAATCTCTTGCTCCACGTTGCTGGTTTTCTAAAACTCTTTTATAACGATGTAGCATTTAGAAAAAGATTTTGTTACACACTCATCTTTAGCCTTCATTTTTATCTCACGTATAAAACACTGGTAGCACAAAAAGTATATCAACTAGAGAATTTTCGACACTTTTAAAATCGTTTTATCTTAAGTTTTTCGATAGGGTGGATGAGTTCTCAACTGAATAACAATATTTTAAAAACGATTGATCGCACCGCCCGGTTCCCGTCCTCCGTGACTTGGCCGATAAACGACGTCGCCGGAAAGGTTCATATCTAAGTAAATTGTGAAGGGAAGCCGCAGCAACGACCTGGTAGTAAGATAATCGCTTGATCTACCGCATAGCTCGAAAGTGATCTACCACATGATGCGTTGAAACGGCGGTAACTATCGTTACTTCACTGAAAATTTTTTCACCTCATCTACATAAACTTTAGCTAGAAACGCATGCTTCTTAACTGCGGAAAATTCTCTACATGTTGATATGGCATCCGTTCTTTCAGCGATTTAAACTTGTGGTAAAAATGAAAGCCAAACACGAGTGAGAAAGAAAAATTTATTCTGAATGGTGCATCGTTATAAAAGGCTGTTTTGAAAAAAACGGCAGCGCAGAGTTGTAGCCAGAAGGTTGAGCTCTTTAGTGATTACTAGCACTTCTATGAAATATTATATCTTTATTTCGAGTGCTTTATGAAGACACGCTCAAATTACAATATATCGTTTCATTAATATTTGAGCCGAACTTGTCATGTGGTCTGGTAAGGGCTCTTGCACAGCCCGATACACGTGTTTCGTCCTTACAGACTCGTCAGTCGGGCAGAACCCGTCGTCTTTCGATATTGAGAATTGGTAATATCAGAGTCATACGTTAGACCTGAAGTTTCTTTCGAAGTGGAGAGAAAATACCTAATTGAACGATAAAAATCGCACTTCTCTGAGGCGCCAATCGATCGATCGTCGCCGGCTCCGCATCGAATCTACGGCCACCAGACCCCCTACCGTAGATTAGGCTGTAAACAGCAAGCCGAATGTGTGAAACTCGATCTTATTTTCCCTGCTACACTCCAGAGAAGCGCTCGCTACACTCAGAGAAGGTTCCCAGAAAATAAGCACGGCGTTGGAATCCTCGAATTCTACGCTATCGAATGATTACTCAGTCTAAATTCTGTCTATTTTGACTGCCACTTGCAGTGGTATGATCTTATAGTATACCCAATATGTGGAGTACTGTGCAAAAACGTTTGCGTCAGCCGGGATTCGAACCCAGATCTCACTCTTTCCGGGAGCGTATGCTAACCGTTGCACTACCGACGCTCGTTTTGCACAGCACTTTTATTTACGCTATAACGCGTTGTCTGCCAACAGCCAACCGTCGACGGTCTGGCGGGGTAGGCGCTATCGGCAGTGAACCCACTTGTGTTGGGTATGCTATAAGATCATACCACTGCAAGTGGCAGTCAAAATAGACAGAATTTGGACTGATTATCGATATCCAATGTCTGTCAACACAAGTGGGTTCAGTGCCGATAGCGGCTGCCCCGCCAGACCGTCGACGGTTGGCTGTTGGCAGACAACGCGTATAAGCATAAATAAGAGTGCTGTGCAAAGCGAGCGTCGGTAGTGCAACGGTTAGCATACGCTCCCGGAAAGAGTGAGATCTGGGTTCGAATCCCGGCTGACGCAAGCGTTTTTGCACAGTACTCCACATATTTCGAATGATTACTAAAAATCTGAAGAAAGAGCTATGCCTTGCGAGACAAATGCGTGTGTGAAAATAAAGGTCTTCCTCTGGTAACAACGTCAAGAAAGTGGTTCTTCAATAATCGGCCACCTAGCGCACTAGCCAGAGATTCAAGCTTTCGAATGATTACAACACTCTTGTGAAAAGTTCTTGTCCAACGAATGGGGTCGAATATCCTTTTGCCCTTGACAAAGGACAAGTACCGGGGACGGTCGATATCGCTCGCGTAGCGCAATTCTCAGGAGGCCCGCAATTTTCGTTATCAAATAAGGGTCTTTCCTCCATTTGAAAAGTAAGATGTAAGGTTTTTGTATTTCTCTCGTACTCCTCGATTTTCTCTACATAGTCTTATGTTTTTCCTGTGTATATAACTTTTCTGTACGATAAGAACTTCTAATGCGGAACATAAACTTCTTTTCGCTTTTACGCCGTTCTATAAAAACTTTTTAAAAAATGAATTGAGTTACAGCACCGAATTCCTCGAGATCAAACTGAGTGTCAAACATAACTTTATTTTCGCTGCTACAACGCAATAAAAAGGCTTTTTCCAAAAATCAAACGTATTGTTGATATCGCAGAGATTCAAGCTTTTGAATGGTTACCAAATTTCTAAAAGAAAAAGTTTGTCCAGCGAGAAAAGCCTTCAAACAATCGTGTAGCCCATTTGGTATACGTAGTCCCTTAGAGGTTAATTTGATGATTATTTTTTTTCCTCGAAATGTTCATAAATATCAGTAACTGTCATCCTAAATTGGATACTAATGTTGCCCTAGAGTTTGCAAAATTGAGCAAGTGGGCTTAGAGCGTTGTACTTTTGATAGTTCTATGATCAGCAAGTGGTCGAATTCATTTGCTAACATCATCTTTGATTGGAAATATCAGTGCGGTGCTATGCATTGGCTTTAGTCGTGCTAACAACTAGATGGCAATCAGTTTTTCAAGTGGGCTTTATCTCGGACAGCCAAGTGATTCTACAGAGGGGATTCCTCCGATAGAATCCATCAGATAACGTGCATCTGTCCTTCGTGCGATAAAGCGAAGTCTCTCCAGCGAAGCAATTTGGCCATTAACGTCAATCAAACAGATATCTAGTGATATGATTGAACACTTGGGAGTCGTTTATATAGCAAGCATGTAAGAAAACTGTCATGCTTCCGTTAACCCTTTCGGTACGGCGTGTACGCATTTGGATTGACGACATTTCTGCGGGCCCTTCGTGTTTAGAGAAACTTTTTCCTCAGACTTTGAGTGGGTATTCAAAATCTCAAATCTCGGGAATCTTAATAATGTATTTTGTCCTCTGTAGAACCCTTCTTATGCGTTGTAGTAGTGAAACTAATATTTTGAACCACACTCAATTTGCTTTGTTTGCTCGGCTTAAATCTCTGGACAGCTTCTCGTTGAACTTTGAATGGTCATTCGACTGTTCAAAAATTCGGTAGTTTCGGCGCTGAAATTGGTTTATGAAAACATTCACAGAGAAAGCTCCAAGAGCGTGAAGAAATTTATGTTTTGTAGTGGGAGTTTCCTTTGTACGTAGGGGATTTATACACACGAAAAGCATATGAACATGTAAAGAAAATCATGGAGTGTCAGAGCAACACAAAACATAAGGTTTCATCATTCAAAACGGAAAAAAAACCTCCATTAAATATCGGAAATTGGGCGCTTAAGATTTGAGC